ATTGAATCAATTGAACAATTTTCCGATTGCATATTACTGGTTCATTTGCAAATCTGGAAGTTGATGAAAATACTCCATCCTATTTCGAATCCATTTTTAAATTTTCAAAATTATTGAACAGTAACTGTTTTTCTTGGTAAAAGTCCAAGTCTTTCAATTTAGAGAGATTTACTAAATATTTTAAATTCTCTAAGCTCATACCCTAGAGAAAGATTGTGCTTATACGGTTGAATCAATAGATAAACTCCATTTGTTTTTTAAAAAAAGTTTATTTGGTACTTCCAATATAATTATACAATACATATACATTCTTAACACTACATGAACGAATACTAATTTTATGATAATTGAAATTAGTGGGGCTTATACATCAGCTTGGGTACTTTACCTACTGAAAATTCTAAATTAATTATAGTTAGAGGATTTACATTAATTTTAACATGAACTTTGATTAGAAATTCTTGTTTAACATAGCCTTCAACGTAAACAGTATCAATGTCTTTTAAATTGTCCTAAGCACTTGATTAAGTTCTCCATAGTCTACACAGCCTGTATTGTATGCAACACCATGAATATTGTGGGATACATAGTTGAGTTCTTTCTTCTGGGCTTCATTCAACTCACGATGTCGAATTTTTGGTTCAAATACGGAACTTCTAAGCAGTTTCCCATCACAAAAAGCCAATTCTTTAACTTGAAAATCAGTAGAAAAGTAACATTGACCGTCCAAAAGCACATACTCCATCCTTTTCTGCGAATGCTTGATAGTCACTGGCTACATCAATGTTCGAACGTTACCTGATAAAGGTAAGTATTCAAACACCCGATCATGTACGATTATACAACAGGCTCGTGTATTATCCGAAAAATTCTCTGAGCTTTGGAACTCGAATTTGACATCAGTCGTGTTGCTTTTGAGGGATTCGTTCTGTTTTGAGCAGTCTATAACAAATAATGCCCTGTTGGCAAAATTGGGAAGGTCCAGCAATGGTTCACTATTGGTTTTACCCAAATAAGTGTTTTGAAATTCGATATACATCCGGTATGCTTCTGCAAACTGTTTGTCATCGAAATTAAGATTCAGTGATTCATACGGATAAACTTCAGAGTTTAGATACAGCTTGACATCTGTAATGTCTAAATTATCGAAAAGAGACATATCATATCGAGGTTTATCTTTTCGGTTTTTCTGGAAAAACACTATGATATATCTGGCTCTCTCGGACATTGATTTCACAGTCCACACGTCTCGCTTGGATTTTCTCAATGTAGATAACTCATGAATCTCCCAACTTCTGAATGGAATAAATATGGGTTTGTTGTTCGAAATATCTTCCAATAATTTCAATTTTAAAACATCGTTTGGATAAATGTGCCTCACCCTCAATTCTACTGTGTCTAAAGTAATTTTTGCTGTTCTATCTCCAGTCGTATTGATGTAACAGTTATCATCATTTCTAGCTCTGACAAGTTTTATTTTCTGTCTTCCCATAATAGCCTTATTGTAATCGGAAAAGATATTTAGTAAAAACTTCAAGGGTATCAGGAAATTAAATTTGTTCCCCGCTAAAGATTTCACTTCACCCTTAGGCCAATTCCATCCAGCTCGATCGAGTGCTCTACTCTCTTGATCGTTGAGACATAAAATATTCCTCACTGTGCTAGTAAGCCCCGGATCTCGAATTTTATCAATTTCCTTGCCATTTAATTCATAAGTTATAGATTCAAATAGGAAAGCACCTGCATTAAATGTTAGATTACATTTTCCTGTCTTTCCAGCGGTAACGTCTTCATTAAACTTTCCTTCAATGTAGACTTCTGCTTGGCTGATATCTATAAATGCATCTTGTTGATTGATAACAATTTCTATTTCATCACTATAGTTGAAAGAATTGGTGAAAGGATGGTAAGTATGCCATTCCTCTCTCGCTACGGACTCATCGGTGTTGACCGACTGAAATATTTGCAGTTTTCCTGATACGATATCCATATTGGAAAGCCAGAGATCTCAACCCAATCAAACTTTTATGTGTGAGCGTTTGCTTTGACGGTTGACTGCAGACTGAGCTCGAGTTATTAACACCACTGTTTAAATAGTCACCAGTTTTATTAAAAACCAGGACCATATTTCTTAAGCTCTAATCTCACTATGATTTCCTCGGAAATTTAACTGGCCGTCCTTCTTGATCAAGTATATTAATTGTTATATTATCTATACTGTCCCTATTGATAGGTAGATATATCGAGTTTCGAGGATCTATTATAATTCGGTATCCAGGATCCACAGCTGGAGTAAATTCGTATAATGTATGTGAAGGATTACTATTGAAGTAGGAACCAGAGATGATGTTGCACTCTATCCGTATACTAGCCACCGATATTATCTCAACTGGCAGATCGGATTCGTGTAGATAATTCTTTTCGAGAGATTTTTCTGAAAATCCCAAAAGTATTTCTATACTATCCTCGGGCTTGAAATTAATATCATATATAGCCTTTAGTTCACACTTCAATGTATTGTTGTTTGGTTTAAGAGAAATATTCTCTGTTGTAGTCGTACTTAATTGTTTTTGTAGATAGGCTTCAATATCGGTAACCTCGTACGACCCGGTTGGGATTTCTATTATTTGTTGTTTTCCTGTAACGCTATAGTAGAACTTGTTTCGACCTGGTTCAATGTTGGGAATGGAATTCCACGTACTGAGTGAGATGAGAGCTAATGAATAGTTATAACTAGAATCAAGCTTGATGGGTGGTGTAATATCAACACTTAAGCGACTTGTTCGACCTTTCAACGTGAATGTCTGAGACATGACTGAAATAAAATCAAAACACAATTACTTTATATAGATTTATTAAACAAAAAACCAAGTACAAGATGTCCACAATTGTAGAAGTTATATGACTGATACTGACCATAGTTGAAAAGTATCTTACCGTTTTTAAAATAACGAACGAGTTCTTTTGGTGGATTTAGGTTCCCAAAACTATCAAAGTAAACAACCGTGTTTTCCTTTTTCTTATAAGCTACCCAATGTATTTCGCATAAACACGCCTCTAAAATTGAAAATTTTAAGTTTTTCAACGTATCGCTTGATATCTTGATCACTTAGTGGACGATCGGGTAGCTTTATTGGAAGTTTTTTGACATCTTTTTCAGGTAAAGTCCATATCCGGTGTTTACTAAGATATAATCCACTCCCTTTTTTCCCTAACGCAATAGCTTCCATCATTTCGTTGTGTCGTTTGGACTCGACAAGTTTATCTTTCGCAGAACGAGCGTCATTCACTTATTTTGCCACCCCTGCCGCGCCCCCACGCAAAGCGCCCAGCGCGCTAAGTCCGGCAAACAGAGGTTTAAGAGGAATAATTCCACCTACTTTCGGTACTGGGATAACTCGTAAAACTCGAATCTTTTTGGGTCCACCAGCTTCTTTGATGGTTTTACGAGCTGCTTGAAGCGCCGATTTAATAAAATCTTTTATTCCTCTACCACGATGCTTCACTTGCTTTCTAATATTAGCCACAACATAGGATTTTAATGGTTTCAAACTTTTCGATCGAGCCATGCTGAGTTTACGTTTAGTTTTCTTCTAACCGAAATTGCAAAATCCTATCCTTTCACCCGTTCCCACGATCTATTTTTCAGCACTTTATCTGACCGATGTCTGTGTTATAGATCCGTGAATTTCAAAAGAAAACTTGTTGATATAGCTATTTAAAGGACCTACACTCGATGGTGTATTCATTAAGAATGAAACAGAGGTAGAGTGAACATTGTTTATATACAATGCGGAAGATGAAGCAGAAAATCAATATAAAGATCGATAACTTTGACATTAATAAGTCCACTAGTATTAGAAAGAGACGTGGAGAACTTTTACCAAACACGATTAGAGCAATAATATGCGGGCCAAGTAATTCAGGGAAAACAAATGTTATGCTTAGTATGTTAACCGATGAGAATGGACTTAGATTCCGAAATATATATGTATATTCCAAGTCATTGGACCAAGAGAAGTATAAGTTTCTGAAAGCGGTGCTCAACCGTGTTGCTGGTTTAATGGATACAGTGATAATGAAACCGTTTTAGATCCGCAAACAGCTGAGTCAGATTCGGTGTTTATATTCGATGATGTGGCTTGTGAGAAGCAAGACAAGATAAGAAACTATTTTTGTATGGGCCGCCACAATGCTATTGACTGTTTTTATCTTTGACAGACGTATTCAAAAATACCTAAGCAATTGATTCGTGATAATGCAAATATGATTACAGTATTTAAGCAGGATGACACGAACCTGAAACATGTGTACGACGATCACGTTAACATAGATATGTCTTTAAATACGTTTAAAACTATTTGTTCTGAATGTTGGAAAGATAAATATGGTTTTTTAGTCATTGTTAAAGATGATGATATCACGAGCGGTAGATACCGAAGTCAGTTCAACACCTATATATCTCCATAGAAGACAAATTCTCCTCAGTATCCCTTAAGACGTCGCTGTGTACAGACCTCTGCAATAGCTGTACCATAGCTGTCTCTGAACCAGTGTAGCTGTCTAAAAGCTGTCTCCTACCCTGCATAGCTGTCTAAAAGCTGTCTCTAGACCTGTATAGCTGACTAAAAAGCTGTCTCCTGACCTGTATAGCTGTCTAAAAAGCTGTCTCCGGACCTGTATAGCTGCCTAAAAAGCTGTCTCCTGACCTGTATAGCTGTCTAAAAAGCTGTCTCCGGACCTGTATAGCTGTCTAAAAGGTTGTCTGCTGACCTGTAAAGCTGTCTAAAAAGCTGTCTGCTGAACTGTAAAGCTGTCTATAGACCTGTATAGCGGTATACGGACCTGTATATAGCTGTATACAGACCTGTCTCCTGATCTGTGTAGCTGTATAAAAGACAGTGTAAAACAGTCAATCTGGTTGGAAATCCTGGCTTCGGTTCCAAGCGAAAATGATAGGAATATCAAGAAGAAAATACTGAACGCTGCTAGATCTATAGGAAAAAAGTATTTGGCTTTAAAGCTGGAGAGAAAAGAGGAAGATGAGGCACTTGATAGGATAATAAACCCTGTAACTGAACCTCTAAGAGAGGTTGTTGAGAAAACGGTTGGCAGAAAAGTCCAAGTTAAACATGAAAATGTTAAGCTTGAAGCTCCTAAAACGTATTTTGAATCTGAACCGAAACTTCCTAGAAATGTAGTTCCAACCAGCAGAGATTATTGCTCAAACGAGTGAGAATTTAAAAAGTGATGATGATGAGTGATGATGGCGCTGAGGATGTGTTTTATGAACCCTTACAACATTTGAAAGTAGATCTGCAGAAATCAATTCACGATAGATCAGGAGCGTATGAAGAATTTTTAGATCAGTATCCCAAAGTAGCACAAGAGTATGTAGATAGATACTATAAACAATCAGATGAAATAGACCATTCTTATGGGTTGAAACATGATATGAAACCCGATGATTGGTCTATGGGATCACAAAAAGTCAACTTTCTCCCGAATGGAGATATTAAACTCGGGGGTGTATCTTATAAAGGAACGCAGGGCTTATACATATATTAAAAAAGTTACAGGCTGTTCCCTATTCATTGTGTCACCCTGTATGTGCCGAATTCAAAAATTTAAAAATATACAAGGCGTTCCAATTAAAATAGCGATGTTGCTACTGGTTTAGAGTAGAAGCGGCAACACCACATGGTCAAAAATATTTTCAAGGGTAGATCGATCATAGTCGTTTATCCCGGTTTCCAAATTTTCACAATGATCCGCTATTTAGTTCTTAATAAACTAGGGCTGTAAAAGTAACGAAAATTTTAATTAATACTCGTACGTATTCGTTACTTTTGATATTAATATTCGTTACTAAATATTCGTTACTCGTTACTTCCGTTACTCTAGTATTCAGAGGATAGGAAAGATACCTACCTATGCGAAAAAGTAGAAGTGACTCATTCGCCATTCGCATTTGTTCCGATTATCGAATAAGTATTGTCGGGATTCGTATTTTCAATATTTGACAATAATAAATATACCCAAACTGTCTAAAAATATTTAAAAATTTGTTTATCGAATTTACCTATATGAAAAATCTTTGGTAAATGTTCAAAAAAACAAAACATTTCGTAGAGATGCGACTGATGCAAGTAACGGAAGTCGGCCGACAGTAACGAATCCGTATTTCAAATCCGAGACAATACTCGTTACTCGGTAACGAATACATACGGTTTGTCACAGCCCTACAATAAACGTCTAATACGCCATCCACCGTGGGACACCCATACATAGGGTACATTCAGGCGATGCCAGCGGCTAAGTTCAGCCACTCAGCAGGAACATTATTCTCGAAACAGGGAAGCAGCGTTCTCATGAGAACGAAGGTTCTGTCTTCGTCATATGTATTCATGTTTCCATATTTAATACCTTTTTAGAAGTACCGGTTGTTCTAGTGACTAAACATATGTCGCTTCTTGAACACACAGATTAAACTAGGTTAGGAATTTCCTATTTGTACATGAAATTGACGTATTAGCAATCGACGTTCGTTTTTGTTGATAAATATGTATAACACTGACACCGACAGAGCAATCGTTCTCATGAGAACGCTGTTCCTCGGTTTCGAGAATAAAGTCCCTGCTGAGTTGCTGAGCTTAGCCGCTGGCACCGACTGATTAGTCGTGTTCTTTCTACTCTAGGATCTCACTTATTCTCATTTTACTTCACTTACTCACTTAATCACATATGATTTACTCGAATAACCTCACCACTTCATCCCAAAATGAGATGAGACGAGCCGTAGAAAGAACACTCCTAATGTACCCATATATTATACGATATATCGATACGTCCGCGATGATGGAGCACATCGATACAAATTTGTCATATCCATATGACAAATATACAGAGTGGTCCATTGAAAAGTATCCACCTAGATTTACCGGTTTTTGTGAAATTTAAGAAAAAAATGCTCGGACACGTGTATTTTGTTTCGGAGGGGGAAATATTCTCTGCATATTTTTAGCCCTGTCACTTTCAACCCCTAACGGGGGTGGGCTCCAACCCCTTAATCTTTAATGGAAAGATGGGTCGAGTGATAGCTCGTTTGAAAGGGCACGAAATTAGCTTTCCAATGGTACCCTGTTTGTCGGATTTTCCTTCGACAGTTAATGCGAAAACGACGCTAAGAGCCTCACCCCTGTATTTTTGGAATCAATAAAACAAAGGACTTACATTTCACTTATTTCGAGACAAAATAACTAGTAACAATATTTATTTGATGAATTTTCACAAAACCGGTAAATCTAGGTGGATACTTTTCAATGGACCACTCTGTATAATTTGTATGTCAGAATTTCATTTGCCATTTCATTATTGTCAATATTTTCAATATTAGGTGGGTTCGGCTTGCTTACTCCGTGCCCTCCGAGTGACTCCATTCGCACTCCAGCCGATCGGGTATTGCTTTTTGGCGTATTAGGGGTGACTCCATTAGCGTTCGACTATACGAAGTGAAGTACATGGAGTTCACTCCAAAAGTTCCACCTCGGAGAGAGAATTTTTTAAAGTAAGCATGCGCCGAAGTGAAATGTGGAAACTGTCAAGCTTGTTGTGTTGTCACGGTGTGGTTGTGGGGGGGCTAGCGTTAATCTGCCTCCCCTCCCCTAACGATCGCAACCCCTGCTATTTTCGCGGGAGTTGGTGCGCTAGCTTTTAAAAGTGGTGCGCTAGCCTGCGCTAGGTGTCCTTATTCTGCGCTAGCATTTTGAGCAAGAAAAATTAACTGGGGGGGCTGGGTGCGCTAGCCTGCGCTAGATATCCTCTATCTGCGCTAGCTTTTTGAGCAAAAAAATTCAACTGGGGGGGGGGGGGGGCAGCTTAACTGAGCCATTTAAAATTTGATTGCCTTTACTAGAATTATGATTGTCTGTTATTCTGTTGTTGTTCGAGGTATCCTTTTATTGGCTCAAAAAACCGAGAAAAGGGCACCTTCAGGCCAAACTTCTTTTTTCCAAGCTCTTCTCAGGTTATTGTGATTGATAGTGATTTTCATGGAACTGAAAATCTCAGGACTTTTCGACGTATGTTGTTTACATTTCACTTCTAGAAAGCTGGATTTAAGAAGATTTTCAAGTTCTTCTGTCTTGGCATTTGCCTGCAACCGCGTTACGTGAAGCGAGATGCTTTTTGGAACAGCGTTGCGGTTTGCATTATCTGTGTTTCCAATTTCGTAATTTAGGTATGTAAAACTCGCACAATTTGTATGGCGGTTGTTGTTTCACTGTATTATATCATTATTGCTTCTATAGAATCGCATACTGATTAAATATACAGAAAATTATCTTTCTATTTTACAATCTTACCTCTATTTTCTAATATGATAAACCCGTTCAAATAGTATGCCATTTTACATATATCGACATTTTAGGATACATATTTCTTATTGCAATACATTTTACATTGCGTAAAATAACGGAATTTTATTGAATAACTCTACTAGATGTTTTTATTATGAGGTATACTTGGACATGCGCGAACGGTATATCATTTTTTCTGTAGCTGATGTATAGCAAAACCATACATACTTCTTAATGGCAGCCTGTTTAGAAACGCGGATAAATCGTTTTTAACACGCTTATATTAGCTTCACCTGTTTGTATGTTTGTAAGTAACATTGAAAATGTTTATCGCACGGGCACATAGGAATGCGTGCGAACTTTTGGACTCTTGGGAAGTGTATGGACAAGAACCTGGAACAAGCCAAGTGAGCTGGAACAAGTCGGGCAAGTGTTTGGAAGAAGTCCAGGGAGGTCAGGAAAGGACTGGATAAGGTCTAGAGCAGTCTGTACAAGTCTGGATAAATCTGGATGAAGCCTGGAAAAGTCTGGAAAATGTCTGGAAAAGTCTGGAAATCTCTGGAAACGTCTGGAAAGAGCCTGGAAATTTCTGGAAAGGGTCGGAAAAATTCTGGAAAAGGTCCCAATGGACCTGGGGATGATTTTCTAGAATCCGGATCAGTCTGAACAAGTCTGGATAAAGTCTAAATAAATCTGGATGAAAACTGGAAAACTCTGGAAAGCCCTGGATAAGTCTGGATAATGTCTGGAAAAGTCTGGAAACATCTGGGAAAGGCCTGGAAACTTCTTGAAAGGGTCGGAAAAATTCTGGAAAAGGTCCCAAAAGACCTGGGGATCATTTTCTAGAATTCGGAGCAGTCTGTACAAGTCTGGATAAGGGCTGGATAAATCTGGATGAAGTCTGTAAAACTCTGGATAAGTCTGGATATTGTCTGTAAAAGTCTGGAAATCTCTGAAAACGCCTGGGAAATCCTGGAAACTTCTAGAAAGGGTCGGAAAAATTCTGGAAAAGGTCCCAAAAGACCTAAGGATCATTTTCCAGAATCCGGATCAGTCTGTACAAGTCTGGATAAATCTGGATGAAATCTGGAAAACTCTGGAAAGCACTGAATAAGTCCGGATAATGTCTGCAGGAGTCTGGAAATCTCTGTGGCGAATTCAGGAATGACACACTCAGTGTGAATGTGATACCAGTGCGACGCACTAGCCGTTCATAAATGCTATAGGCACACCGAGTGCGCGCACTCTGTGCCGTTCAGAAAGTACTTCGGGCACACTCCAGGTTTCGCACCGGTCACACTATAATTTTTTGATTGTGTCTTTATGTCAACAATGTCAACTATTCCTCCCATAATCTCAATAATCCCACAAAATATAAACAAAACACAAATAAGAATTAAAGTTTTTTCTTCAAAATAAAAAAATGAACAACAAAATAATACATCGAACTAAACAGTGAAAAATAAATATAGTTTAAAAAAACTAAAAAAACACGCTTTTATAGTAAATTGATCTAAAAAGTGAAAAATAATTTTTAATATAAACAGAAAATAATAATGAACAAAAAATATTAGAATTATTGTGAAAAAAGCGTGGGGTGCTCAATGTACGAGAAATGTGGAACAAAGCACCCCACGCTTTTTTCACAATAATTCTAATATTGTTAGAAATATTTTTTCAGGTAATGACCAACGTGAATACAGGAACACTACGGCCCTGTTTGGGAATCGGCCCACTGAGCAGTGGACTCAGGCTTCCCGTGCCAATCCTTGACGCGTTTCGTCCTTGTTAGGACTCATCAGAAGGACATAGGCTGAAGCTCCCTGTCCAAGCAAAATTGAACTTCGTTGACCAGTCAGAAACAACTACTCCGAGGGCA